CGCATAGTGGTTTGGAGAAGATCTTTTAGACTAATGCACTTTCATATGCGAGCCATCTCATTAATAGGCTACCTTCATCTACGATTGAGGGGAAACCCCTATGGAGAAATGGTATTTGGGTGCCCTGCATTTTATCATATGAGAACAGATAAATTGGAACCTTGAGCTAGGAATGCCATATTTGTAGGATTCAAGCATGGTGTTAAGGGATACAAGCTTTGGGATCCAGTTGATAAGAAGATTATGCTGAGTAGGGACGTCATGTTCGATGAAGCTTCTATCTTGAAGCTTCCCAGCTCTCATCAGGTAGAGAGCGACCCGACACAGAAGATATCGTAGGTGGTGGAGATCGATGCAGCTCCACAGTGTCCAGATGGTGTAGTATCCATTAGAGTATCGACTGAGGTGACACTAGGCGAGCATGAAGGTGACACGAATGATACGGGTACTGATGTGCAGGATCAGGGATCGACGGCTCAGGTTCATGATTCTATTGCGGTTTGGAGACAGAGGAGAGACATACGTGTGCCAGCATGGTATGCCGACACAGTTACGTATGTACTTCCGGTGGAGAGTATCGATGAGATGTTGCCTACTATATTCAAAGAGGTCGAGCAGAGTTCGGAGGCTGATTCGTGGAGGTAGCTATGTAGGAGGAGATGAAGTCTCTTCATAAAAACGATACATGGGAGCTTATTGAGCTTCCAAAGGGGCGGAAGGCGATTGGTTGTAAGTGGGTATACATGAAGAAGGAGGGCATTGAGGGCACTCCATTGAGGTTCAAAGGTAGGTTGGTTGCGAAGGGCTATGCACAGGAGGAAGGTATTGACTATAATGAGGTTTTCTCTCCGGTGGTGAAACACTCTTCGATTCGGATTCTGCTAGCTTTGGTGGCACAGTATGATTTAGAGTTAGATCAGTTGGATGTGAAGACGGCATTTCTTCATGGTGATCTTGATGAAGAAATATATATGACTCAGCCATTGGAAAGATAAGTTGGTTTGTAGGTTAAAGAAATCACTATACGGTTTGAAGCAGTCTCCTAGACAGTGATATATGCAATTTGATGGTTTTATGCTTGGACATTCGTACACTCAGAGCCAGTTTGATCATTGCAAGTATTTTCACAAGTTAAGAGGAGGTGCGTACATTTATTTGTTGCTTCATGTTGATAATATGTTGGTTGCCTCTACTTCCAGGTCGGCTATAGATGAGTTGAAAGTTCAGCTTTCAAATGAGTTTGAGATGAAGGACTTAGTGTAGGCTGTGAAAATTGCCTTAACTAAGGGAACCCACCCTTGAGAGTTTGATTCTGCCCACGTGCTGGATTCTTCAGTATGAGCCAAGCCTATTTGGAGGCAAATCTTGCCTGCACGGATCAAATTCTCTCGAATTTGCCTGCATGCTCGAACTCGCCTACATGAGTCAAACCCGTCTAGGCACCAGGCTCGCTTGCACGTCTAAGATGTCAGCCAGACGACCAACAACCTCGCCTGTGTACTAGGCGGCTACGAGGCTGTATACAGGGATGGGCCATCCTATTTCCCACGACGTGAGGGGAAGGACTATAGTGCTTCGAACCCCTCAAGCGGCCATCCATAGTACGAGCGACCAGTCAAATCCACAATGTCGCTATACTCGCCTGCACACTTGACCCGCCTGCACGAGTCACGATCATCCATATAACTGGAATTCGCCTGCGTACTTCATTCAGCTAAGTTCATCCAAGTGGTTGAGAGTCGCCTACATGTTCAGACGACCAGCCAGGCAATCAACAAGCTCGCTGAACTCGCTAGAGTACCTAGCGGCCACAACATTATATATAGGGATGGGCCTTCCCATTCCCCACGACGTGAGGGGGAGAAGTGCAGTACTTCGAGCCCGTCAAACGGCCGTTCATGGTAGAAGTGAGAAGCATGACATCTCCCATCAGTACATGGTCACATCGCATGATTCAAGGGAGTGACCACGCTGTCTCTCCTCTATTTAAGAGCCTCTCCTGGCTACAGGAAAGAGGTTCATAGTTAATTGATTAATTCAATCAGTTAGCTGGACCATTAGCTCTCAACTCTCGACTAAGTTGACGACAGGCTCTTTGCGTGATCCTTGCACTGTAGCACCTTCTCCTAGCTTCGGGCCCTGACCGCCACCGAACTCGGAGACTCGAACTTTCTCCTAGCTTCGGGCCCTGACCGCCACCGAACTCGGAGACTCGAACTCGACTAGCACGAGCTTCTACTGCGTACTGAAGCTCACTAGCAACCTAGATCGAATCGTCCAAGGGAAGCAGACTCGGTACGAGAACCGAGCGACGCGTCCTATCGCTACCAAAGTCCCCACGATAAACAAGGAGGGCCTTTCCTCCACTTCTGTTATAATTTCGATTCATTAGTTTGTAATAATCTATTCTTATTAATACAAACAAAACCCCTGTTTTGGGAAATACAAATTTACACCTACACTTGGGTGAGGCCAAACACATTTTAGGGATGGAGATCAGCAGAGACAATAAGAAGGGCAAAATTTGTTTGACACAAGTGGCTTATTTGAAGAAGGTTCTACAGCGATTTCATGTTAGCATGGATACGAAGCCAGTTAGTGTACCATTGGGAGCCTATTTGAAGCTTTGAGCTGGTCTTTTACTGAAGTTAGTTGAAGATCAAGAGTTGATGTCGAAGACTCCATATGCGAGTACAGTTAGGAGCTTGATGTACGTGGTGGTATGTACGAGGCCAGATTTATCACAGGCGGTGATCATGGTTTCGAGATACATGCATGATCCAGGAGTGGGTCATTGGGACGCCGTGAGATGGATTTTGTGGTACATTAGAGGTACGCTAAATGTTGGCTTGGTTTATGAGCGGGACACTATAGGTGGGCAGCTATGCATTTGCTATGTTGAATCGGATTATGCCGGAGATTTGGATAAGCACCGGTCTACGACGGGGTATGTGTTCACTTTGATCCGTGCGTCGGTGTGTTAGAGATACACCTTACAGTCGATGGTGGCTTTGTCTACAACCGAGGCAGAATATATGGCGATTACAGAGACTGTGAAGGAGGCTATTTGGCTTCAAGGACTTTTGAAGGAACTTGGTATATCGCAGCAGTCCACCTCCATTCATTGTGATAGCATGAGTGCTATCTATTTAGCGAAGAATCGGATTTTTTATGTGAGGACGAAGCACATTGACGTTCGTTATCACTTCATTCGGGATGTTCTTGAAGATGATAATGTGGAGATTGTGAAAGTCCACACGAAGGATAATCCGACGAATATGCTCACTAAGGTGGTTCCGAGTAATAAGTTGATCATTGTCAAAACTTATTGCACATTCGTGATTGTTGAGGCCGTTGACGGCCATTTGGATGAACTACGGGCGGCTTGATCCCTTGGGAGAGGGGGTACGTTAGCAACCATATTGGTGCAGCCGAGTTTGGAGAGACGACGCATTGATGCTTATGTTGATGTCGGCTCAGTGTTGGGAACACTTCGCCGAGGTGGAGAATTGTGAAAACGGCGAAGGAATTGAGAAAAACGTGAAGAATAAACAAAACAGACTCCACCACACCCAGGTGTGGTGTCTGTCACACCGGTGGTAGAATCTGCCCTGTTTACCATGGGTGTGGTGTCTGCCACACCCTAGTGTGGCAGAATCTGTCTGGTTTGTCATGAGTGTGGTGTGTGCCACACTAGGGTGTGGCAGACTTGTTTTTAGAATCCTAATATATTTGGGATTGTATTTTGTTATAAATAAAACCACGTTTTTTAGGGTTTTTTAAGGAGAGAATTAGCATTATTTTGAGCACTTTGAGAGTGAGATATTGTGAGGGAGTTGAGAGCTTTGGTTAGGTTTATATTTGAGTGATTTTGTGAGTTGTAACCCGTTGTATTTCTCCTCCATATAGTGAAATCTCCCCATCCTCTCCCCGTGGACGTAGACAATTGCCGAACAATGTTAATTCCTGTGTTTGTGTGTGAATTTGGTCGTTATTTTGTGAATTGCACTCGTGTTTGGTTTTGGTTTTCTTCTCTCATCGTTCACCGACTCGTTTGGTTGTTTATCACGCTTCCACACGGCGCGCAACAAATATGAAATATGTCTTTGAAATGTTTGAGTGCAAAAGTGATATTTACAGCCCATGTGAGCATTCAATCTAATGTTGTTTCATTGGACCTCAGGATATTGTTGAAATCTTCTGGGTCAGCTTTATTATAGACAATGAAAACGAATATGATTTAACAAAAGTTAATTGCTTTAATCTGTGTGATTCAATTTGTTGCTCTATATGCTACCAGATTTTGGAGTCAACAAAATTTGTGTCAGTTCAAGTGTGATATTAAATTCTGATCAGTAACAGTGGTAAGTAATGATTTTTTCTGGTTTTTTGTTATTTGAAAACACATTGTATCCTTAGCGAAATGCCGATGGGCATGTTGAATATCAATTAGTATTTTGCAGGGAGTTCTTTCAAGAGAAAAAGCAAGTCCGTTACTTGAAGTACATCCTTTGGATGCTTACTCGGCATATTTGATGCTTTGTGCTTTCATTCTTGCAGGGTCCGATTTTTTGATTGGGCATTTCAAGTTTCGTCTTGATTCAATGGTTAGATCGGAGCGTGTTTCCCCCCCGAATGGATTGCATTTGAATGCTAGTATGAGCTAGTGCTCAATTCTCTAAGCATATAACTTCTTTCATCAGTTATACATTCATTTACTTTCATTTCAATATATTGAAAAATGAATATTTTCTCTTCAAATTTAAGTGATTACTTAAACACGTTCATTTGACATAAGAGAATATTTTCTCTTCTCTAGTAATAAAGAAAAAACGATGTCTTGTGGGAAAGGCATATAACCTTCCTCAGTAAGGAAATTTCAATATACTCCTAGGAATTCATGAGAATGTTTGACTTAAGGCTAAGGATAAATTCAACAATAGAATGATGTAATGCTACCATGAACCAAATATTTATTTTATTTTGTAGCAAGAAAATTATTACACTTCCTTCATCCGAGTGTATCCTCCAGGACCACCATAACGAAATTTGTAACCATCTGGATACCCTGAGTAATAATTTCCATCAATACCATAATAGTCGGGTCTATTAGATAAAATTTTGACTCTGTTAGATTTTGGATTGTAAAGCTGATTTTTTTTATTTACTAACTTAATATTCAGAAAATAGCATGTCTTATTTGGACCTTCGCAAGGCATATGACCACTTCCCATGGGGGGACTAGGTTCATTGTAGGGAGAGTAAGATGCACCACCATAATCAACCTCGTTAGGTTTCTCTAAATTGTTGAAAAGCTCCTTTGGCCAATATCCCACTAGAGATCTTTCTTCCCCATAGGTTAACCACCAATTTCCTTCATCTGGGTCCTACAATGAGAAGGACACAAAATAAGAGTTATTCCCCCCACTCCACACACACATAAAAACCATGCATTATAGAGGTGTAGCTACTCACCATCCCTATTTTACCAACATAAAGATCATTTTTGTGATGAAGTTATTACTCATGTGTTTTTAAACTCATCTGGTAATCATGTGAGAATTTTCTTACAAAAAATTTAATGTTGCTCAACACTTGATTTCCACGAGCTTGAAAAACTTGAAAAGTAATGCAATCACATGGTCAGGGTAATAAATAGAAGAAGAGTAAGCAGCTACACCTAAAACTATTTTTATCACCCTAGTTATTATATTATATTAACACATGGATTCCTTACTCCACACGATCATGTAATTCCTTTTGTTGGTTTTAAAACAAACATGGGAATCTCATAAACTTTCTAACTTTGTTCATCACCCATTTCTCTTGAGTTGAAGACTACAAAAAACTCCACCTTGATGGATGTGTATACAAATAAAACGGGATATAAAGGATATATAATTAATACCCTATAGCACTTATTCTATTAAAAAACAAAATTTAGCTATCAAACTTCCTTTTCAGACTTAAATTTAAAGATCTATCCCTTCCAGTATGCTAATCAATTGAACACAAAAGACTAAGAGCTTGTTTGGCAAACTCAATAAACTTGTTTTAGCGAGTACAGAACATGTGTGCTTGGCCGTAGTTTGGAAAATTAATAAAGTGTAGTAAACTAGTTTTTTTGAATCCAATTTTGCTCAAGAACTAGACTACAAACAAACCAAGACAACAAACCAACACAACTTTGGTCCAAAAGAGAACTAGGTGAGAATGACTCAAATATGTTATCGTCTAAAAATTGTCCAAACTAAGTTATAAAGTAGAACTAGTTCTATAAAGTCTAACTTAGACTCACTTAGACCAAGTGGAAATAGTTCAAAAGTGAATTAGGTTATTTTCAAAGTTGCCAAATAGAGCCTAAGATAAAGATAAACTATCAGATAAGCTTATAAAGTGTCCCCTATTTTAATAAGGCTTAAAAACTAATACCGATAATAATAATAAAACTTAAAAACTGACATAGTAAACCAATAATGCTTATTCCCATTGTTGGATTTTTAATTTGAGTGGTAAATTAATGATCAATGATATTTGCAAAAAAAAAAAAGAAAAAAAAATCAACACTCTCTCTCTCGACCATCTTCTTCATCATAGTCCCCTTCCCTCTCCACTTTCTCTCCTCTTTCCTCCTCCCTGCCAAGATCCTCATGCTCACCTCATTCTCTCCCTCCTTCTCCAATCTTACCCCTCTTCTCACCTTCTCTCTCCTCTCTCATCTCACTCTCCTCCTCCTCTCCCATCTTCTCTCTTCTTTTTTTCCTCAAACATTTACCAAAAGTGGAGGAGGAAGTGGAGGAAGGAGAGGAGAGAAGGGAGAAGGAAAGTGAGGTGGGTGAGGATAGAGGTTGAGAAGATGGGTAAGTGTAAGTGGGGGTTGGGGGGGGGGGGGGGGGAGAGAGAATTGGATTTTTTTGCAAATATTTAAATTTGAAGCGTAAATCTGTAAGTGTGGGAGATTTGAGGCGTATATATATAAAAAATTCTTAATTTTTACATTCAAATCAAAATTCCAATGATGGGAATAGGCCTTGTATTCAAGTGCACCAATTCAGGACTTATTGTCGTGAGCGTCAGTTTTTAAGTCTCATTGGAAAATGAGAGTTAACTTTATAGGTTAATCGAGCTTCAAAGAAGTTTGTTGGTAGAGATGAATTTCTCAAAGCCAAGTTAATTCGCTATTGTTTTACCTTGAAGATACTTATGTCAATGGCTTTTTGAATCCCACCATAGGTAGAAAGCTGGGTTATTTCCATTCCAGGACTAAAGTCGCGAGATATTACCATAAATCCTTGACAATGGAGATTGTAGCAACCTGTATCATAACCATCAGCCTGTACACATAATTAATCAATTTTTTTAATCCCCGCCTAGTAACAAACTATAATATTTTTGAAACCAAGAAAACAAAATTTAATTTAGCTTTTAAGTTCAAAGTTGGACATAATTCATAGATCATACCGTCCAAGATATAGAAAGATGGGTTAGATAGTCACCATATAAACTCGGACATACCTAAAATTATTAAAAAAAGTAGAAAACAAATTTAGTGGAAATTCAAGTGAGTTTCTACTTTTATTTAAACAAACTGCGAATATTCTAATTTGAGTAAGTTAAATAATATAGTTAATTGCTTACGTGCCATCCTGCTTGTATAGCGTTTACTTCATCTAATGGTCCAGTAGCACCTCCAATAACCCATATTTGGCTTATGGTGCTTTGATCAACTTTGATATTTGGAAAACCATAAACAATAAGCTTTGCACTTGCTCCGTAATATTCGCCAATTGTAGTTTTCATAACTGCATACTATTTAACAACAAATTCATTAGAAAACAAGATGAAACGAATTAGAAACAAAGATTTGCCATATTAATGCAAGTTGTGAAAATCTTCATCAAATTTTTTACAACACGATGTTCTTAGCTTAGTAGTTTTTATCAATAGTTTTGTTTGTTCACGTGTAGACTGTTTGAATATTTTTGTTTCCCTAAGTGAAGATGTTTTGTTCTCCTCAAAAATAAATGTTTATTATTTCATTTAAGTTTTGAAGTACTTAGACTTTTTTTGTAGCTGGAAGTATTTCATTAAATCTCCTTAATTAAACACAAAGGCTTTATAACCATCATTATTCTTGAGGAAAAGTATAAAGATTAACATTTCACTTCAATGCACATAGTGACATAGAAATAGCAAAACATCTCTATCAATAAAAATTATGCTCCTCATTAAAATCAAAGCTTCATGAAACACTATATCTATTGACCATATTTTAAAAGTTGACAAGTACAACAAAATAATATAATATTCTAAGCTAACTTAAATCATCTTCCCCCCCCCTGCCTCTTCTCTTTTTGGTCTAATTGCCATTCTAAGCCTTTTACAACTTATTTAGGCCATGGGTGCAAAACGCATTTATAAAACAATGTAAATTTGTAAATTAACGAAGTGGCGGTCTGAATAGTGCATTTTAGTAGGCGATTTTCTCCCTGCTAACGTGCTCCTCCGCCTAGATTTGCGAAGAAGAAGAAGATCAGTAATAAGAGAGTTCAAAGTAGTCAACTGAGAGACTCTATCTTCGTCTATCCTTCCTCAGCTACGTTGAATGCTGGAACTTCTTCGACGGAGGTTAGGGCTAAATCAAATGGAATAGTAACTTATCAGATCCATCAGGAAATGAAGAGCACTGATCCAAAGGGGGACAAAGAAGAAGATTCTTAGGGAGAATTAGGGAAATCTCCTAGCTCTGTTTTATGGTCTGATGAAGTGATTGATTCAGATCTGATTGAGATTGTTGAGGAAAATGCTGAAGTAAATACTCAACAAATGGAGAATGTTAATGCTGTTGATAACAATATAAATCTAGAGAAAGAAAAAAAAAGACTCTGATGTTATAAATCATGGAAGAAGTGCCAGATCGGAGGAGAATGGATTTGAAGGTTTAAAATCCTTTGCTAGCCTATTTTCTGATAATAGAAAGCATGGAAATGGATTATCATTAAAATTTGTACCATCTTCATAAGTTAATATTGTTTCTTTCACCGAGGAAGAATGGAAAGAAGGAGAGGATCTCTAGAATTTTGCTTTAATAGGGAATGTTATTGGATTAAATGTTAGATTTAAATGCATGGAAATATATGTTAATAAGATTTGGGGGGAATTTCTATTTCGAAAGTTTGCGTAATAAAACAAGGGGTGTTTCTCTTTGAGTATCATGCTAAAAAGCAGATGAATAAAGTTTTAAAAGTAGGACCATGGTTTTTTGGTTCTAAAACTTTGATTTTGAAGCCTTGGAAGATTGATACTAATATGGAAAAAATTCAGGATTGTAGCTACCCTATGAGGGTTCAATTCCCTAATTTGAAACTGAATTTGTGGAGCTCTTCAGGTATTAGCAAGATTGCTAGCCTCATAGACAACCCCATTACTACTGATAAACGTACTGCTATGAGACAAATGTTATCATATGCTAAAGTTCTATTAGAAGTTGATTTGCCTGTGAAAGAGCCACTGCCTGATCAAATAGTTATAAAAGGGCCTGATGGGAAAAGTTATATTCAAAAAGTGGTTTATGAACTTAAACCAAGATGGTGTGAAAATTGTAAAATAGTGGGACATGAGACTGAGCAGTGTAGAAGGCGAGCTGCTAAGAAAATATGGGTTCCAAAATTATCATGAACTATGTCAAAAGATGTTTTTCAGGAGGAACTTGTGAGATATGTTATGGAAGTGGATATATCTGGAAAACATGCACAAGCAGCCTTGAAGAGTGTCATACCTAGAAAAGAAAATCTTACACAAGATAATTGAATCCAATACCTGAAAATCCCCTATTAGAGATACATGCACAAGAAGTGTTGAGGAATGCCACACCTATTCTTCAACCTGGAAAAGAAATTTCACTGCTAGTGTTGCAGAATGACAATCAAAACTATGGAAAAACTGGTCAGATTGGATGTAGGATGCTGAGTCCTGGAATGCTTGGCATTGTTCAAAATTCAAATTCATCCCCTTCTATAAATATCAGTGGATTTACAAGTGTTAACATGAATAGTGTAGCTAGAAGAACAAGTATGATTGTTGGTGATCTAGCATCCACTTATATTCTAGCTTCACAGTTTTCTTTGTTGGATCATCAGGACAATCTGTTTGACCCCTAAAATGTTGATAGGGGCAAGTCCACTCAATAAATATGCATTTAGCCATCTGAAATGCTAGAGGATTCAACAAATCCTCTAAACAAATGATAGTGTAACAAATAGCTCATGAATACAAGCTTTCCTTTCTAGCTCTTCTGGAAACTAAAGTTGCTAGCGACAAGATGCATATTATAGCTAAGAAAATGACTAAAGACTGGGACTAGATTTCTAATGCTCAACAAGCAAGCAAAGGTAGAATCTAGATTCTTTGGGATGGTGATGTCTTATCTGTCCAATGCATCTCTTCCTCTGAGCAATTTATATCATGCACTGTTACTTCTAAAGATAGCAAGTTTTCTTGTATTGCTACTATTGTTTATGCTCTGAATGATCAAATAGGCAGGAAAGCTCTCTGGCATGATCTATCATTATTCAAACAAGGTGTAAATTGTCCGTGGATTGTAGGTGGAGACTTTAATACTATTATAAGTAATGAGGAGAAATTGGGTGGAACTCAAGTCACTGAATCTGACACTGAAGATTTTCAAAAATTCATTGACTCATGCCAGCTGCTTCATCTTAAATCTACGGGGTGTTTTTTCACCTGGTGTAATAAACATGAAGCAAATACTAGAATTTGGTGCAGGTTGGATAGGATTTTGGTAAATGAGGAGTGGATTCTTCAATATACTTCTAGTCAAGTTGATTTTTTAGTGCCAAACTTTTCTGATCATTCTCCAGCATTGTTAACAATTGGTGATGAGATCTATAACAATTGGTGGTGAGATCTGTGAAGGAAAGAAACCATTCAAATTTTTTAGCATGTGGATTAAACATCCTTAATTTAACACAGTTGTCAAGTCTGTGTGGGAACAAGACATCAGGGGTTTCTATATGTACAAGCTAGTTACAAAGCTAAAAAAATCTCAAACCAGTTCTAAAAGAATTGAACAAAAGACACTTTATGAACATCAGTGAACATGTGATAAGAGCCAAGGGGGAACTTATTGATATTCAACAATATTTGATGAATGATCCTTTCAATTCTGATTTGATATCAAAGGAGAAGAAATGTCTGAACATCTACACCATACTAGTTGATTTTGAATCTTCTTTCTATAGGCAAAAGGCAAACATCAGATGGGGGTTACATGGTGATAAATGCTCTCAATTTTTTCACTCTGGTATGAAAGCCAAAAGGCATCATAATAAAGTCTTATTCATATACTCTGATAATGGGGAAAGGCTAACTGATATAACTTATATTACAAATGAATTCATTGCTTATTTCAAGAATCTCCTAGGCTATGCTGGTTCTACTGCAGAGATTAAACCGAGGTGATATCAAATGGTCCTATCCTCTCCTCTGTTCAGGCTAATAATCTGGGTGTTCCAATCATTAGAGATGAAATCAAACAAGCATTATTTTCAATGGACAATGAAAAAGCACCTTGTCCAGATGGCTACACTGCTGCTTTCTTCAAGGCAACCTGGAATGTGATAAATGAAGATCTCTATCTTGCTATTGAGGAATTCTTTAAATCTGGCAAACTTCTTGGTGCTCTCAATACCACATCTATCACTTTGGTGCCTAAAATTCTCAATCCTAAATCACCTTCAGACTATAGACCAATTTCTTTTTGCAATTGTGTATACAAAATCATCTCAAAAGTTATTGCAACCAGAATTCAAGGGGTTATGGGGACTGTGATTAATAAAGCTCAAAGTGTATTTATTAAAGGAAGGGTTATCTCTAGCAACATCCTGTTAGCTCATGAACTAATTAAACACTATGGTAGGAAGCATACAACACCAATGGCAATTCTTAACATTGATCTAAGGAAAGCTTTTGATACCATTAGTTAGAATTTGATTAAGTCTATGCTTATTGGTTTGGGCTTTCCTAAGAATATGATTAAGTGGATCATGGAGTGTATCAGAACACCTAAATACTCCTTATCTCTTAATGGTACATTGCATTGGTACTTTAAAGGAGCTAGAGGTTTAAGGCAAGGAGATCCACTCTCTCCATACCTGTTTGTTCTTTGAACGAAGTATCTTTCAAGGAAATTAAACACCCTCAAAGATGATAATCTATTCAGATATCATCCAAAATGTTCTAGGCTTAAGATCTCTCATCTCTTCTTTGCCGATGACTTGTTTCTTTTTTGCAAAGCTGATATTTACTCAATTGCAAGATTAAAGGAATGCCTCTCTGAATTCAGCCATGTTTTTGGATTAGAAACTAATCCTAATAAGTGCTCTATATACATGAGTGGTGTTGATGATGATTTAAAGGCTCAAATCTATTCTCTTCTAAATTTCTCTAAAGGTGTGTTGCCAGTGAGATACTTGGGTGTACCATTAATCTCAAAAAGGTAATCATGTGTGGATTGTTCTCCCTTGATTAACAAAGTTTCTGCTCAGTTCTAGAGTTGGCAAAAAAAGAAAACTCTATCCTATGCAGGAAGACTGCAGCTTATCAAATCTGTCATCCTAGGTATTCAAAATTTTTGGACTAGCAACTATGTTTTGCCAGTTAAAGTGTTGGAGAAAATAGACACTCCCTCTTCTGATTTTCTTTGGAATCATAAAATTCATCTGATTTCATGGACCACAGTTTGTCAAAGCAAAGAGCACGGAGGGTTGGGGGTCTTCTCTGCTAAAGCCTGGAACTATGCAGCGGCTATGAAACTTCTTTGGATGATACATCTCAAGAAGACCTTATATGCATTAATTGGGTTCATGGCAATTACCTATGACATTATAACATATGGCAAGTTCATATTAGAATGAATGATTCTTGGATGTGGAAGCAAATTCTTAAAGTGAAGGATAAAATGATCTGCAAATTTGGCAATGCCTCTAATGTTCAAAATGTCATCACCATGTGCTGCTTTGAAGGAAAAATTCAGTTATCTTCTATCTACAATGAGCTCATTCATCAAAATACACAAGTTGCTTGGTCCAAAACAGTCTGGGATGGATGGTTATACCCTAAGCACTCCTTTATCCTTTGGCTAGCTATTCATTCTATATTGTTAACAACAGATAGGCTATGCCACATAAGGATACTTGACATAAATCTTTGTGTCCTGTGCACATATCAGCATCAAGAAACCTGTAGACATATCTTCTTTGAATGTGTATACTCAGCTACTTTATGGAACTGAATGATGGACTGGATGAATTATAATTGGAAATCTTGCAACTGGGATTGTATTATTGATTGGTATAGTACGAGACTGAAGGGGAAGGGGTTTATGAAGAAGCTTAAAAGATTGATATTATCCGTATTAGTTTATGCTATATGGAAAGAAGGGAATCAGAGAATCTTCCAAAACAAAGCTAAAGACTTTGAATCTTTGTTTCGGATAGTGAAGCTTCTAATACTTTCTAAAGCCTTGAATGATAATGTTTCTCCTTACATAAAAGAAAGAATTGAGCAAATGTAATTCTTTTTCATAGTTTTTCTTCTAGTTAATCACTGGAATGTTTTGATGTACTAAATCTTCTTAATTGGTAATGAATAAAATTTATTTCATTGACCAATTTTTTTTAAATTAACTTGCTGTAAATTTAGGTAAACGGTTCTAAATGAAAAGGGCTACTCACATGGCTTCCAATTCCAATGCTAGTTTTATCTTTCTCCGATGGGTAACTCGTAACATGTCTTTTGACATGATTTTGAAGAGTTTTTGCATGTAGTAAATCATTCTTAGTAGTTCTGCGAATAAGAACCGTTCCACGTGGACAAGTGGTGTTCTTGTGCAAATTTGAATTAATGGTCATACCTTCTGGAAAACTGCTAGGTCTCATCTGCATTAAATAATTCCTTCTATTAGTTAATTCATTGAATAAAGAGAAATAAAAATGTCAAACTATTATATAAAATGAGTCGCCAATAGATTTATTTCAGTAAAGATTATATATGTTTAAGTAACAAAGCTTTTCTCCTTGTTTTCCTAATATTTTGAGTGAAAATTGTTCAACTTTAGCCAATTCCAAAACTAGTTTCATAATAAAAGTATAGGGTAAGTAAGTTTTATAGCAATGTGACATTGGATAATTTTGTACTTTTCCTACTTTCTAATTATAATCATAAATTACACGCAATTTAGAAATATTCTACACAAGCTTCATAATATGTTAATCTAAAAAATAAACAAAGAATATACAAATGTGACTTATTTTTTATATAATCAAGATTACAAATCTGTAAATGCTTCTCTTTTTTGGTACTGTATCATGTAACCTTTTTTTAGATAATAGAGTAAATTACACTTGAATACACCTACTATAGCGTAAAGAAATGATAGAAATTTCCCCACCCCACTTTAATACACCTACTATAGCTTATAGAAATGATAGAAATGTTTCTCGACATTAAAAAAGTAACCCATCGTTAAGAAAAAAAGTAAATGATAGAAATGTCCCCACCCCACTTTAATACACCTACTATAGCGTGCTAAAACCTAAAATGAATAGAACTCTTCTAAACTCTCCCAAATTCTTTTAAAATTATCCAAAATTCCACCAAATTGACTACGGGTTAGGGTATTTTTTGATCTCAAACTGAAAACGTAAAGCAAATTGTAATTTTGGATCATGAAGAGGTGATTTTTTTTAGAAAATTTGTACTAATATGATTTAGGGTTTGACTATTTGAGGTGCTTTCACTTGATGCCACGTTTCACCCTAAAATTTAGTCTAGTCTTGAGAAAATGCTCGACTAGTTGAATGTTCTTCCAAATTGGAGTCAACGAGTTCATGGATATGCCTTTTTGGCAATTCAAGAATATAAATGAGAGTCTTTTTAGTACTTGAAACTGGATTAACAATTTGAGACCATTTACAACTATAAATATTAGAGAAAACTTACCCCAGTCTAGACCAAATAATTTGCATAAGTAGTCATAGTAAATTATATATTTTAAAGCAAGTTCTTCTCTATTCTGAAGCATTACATTTTTCTGTGCAGATTCTACTAAAGACTATGAACATGGATCACTTGATTTCTCAAGTAACCAGTGAGGTAGAGAACGACTCACTAATCTGGCTAATGGTGAGGTAATAGCTCTAATTTTTCATAAGTTCAAATTGCATGTTCTCCATTCTAATGCTTTCTATTTTCCCTAACTTTTAGTTCTACATTCTAATGCTTTCTATTTTCCCTAACTTTTAGTTCTACTTTTTTCTTTTTATTATTTATATACAAATAGGAACAACTTTATGAATCTAGATAGTTATGCTATGTATGAGAGAATGAGGCTTGAGGAGCTGTAAGGAAGGCAACACATTGTTGTGGACAGTGTGCAGTTATTTTGCCATAGTGAATTATATTTTAAAGCAAGTTCTTCTGTATTCTGAAGCATTACATTTTTCGGCGCAGATTCTACTAAAGACTAAGAACATGGATCACTTGATTTCTCAAGTAACCAGTGAGGTAGAGAACGCGACTCATTAATCTGTCTAATGGTGAGGTAATATCTCTAATTTTTCTTAAGTTCAAATTGCATGTTCTCCATTCTAATGCTTTCTATTTTCCCAAAATTTTAGTTCTACTTTTTTTCTTTTTATTATTTATATACATATAGGAACAGCTTTATGAATCTAGATAGTTCTGCTATCTATGAGAGAATGAGGCTTGAGGAGCTGTAAGGATCCCAGGCAACACATTGTCGTGGATAGTGTGCAGTTATATATATATTCTGCCCTTTCTCTGCTACAGATAGGACTTTGCCAATGAAGGAGCATGTAGAGCACAATGCATTGAAGGATTATATGCTCAACGGGCTCTCCGCCCTAAATACTCTGTGACTCCTACTTCAGTACTAAATAACCCTGGGTATCATACTACAATTAAGTATATTATCATACTTTTGTAAGAGGTGGCGTCCTTATATATTTTGGTTAATTCGATGTAATCCCAAGGTTTTGCTACTATTTTTAATTATTAGTTATGTTTGGCTTAACTATATGTGCTTAATGAAGGTAAATGTTTTCTCTAGCCCTAAGCATGGCCATCATACATAAATAAGTTTCTAGCATATTATTGCATAATAAAAATGCATACTTTCATAAAGTGTGCATATTTTCCTTTTTAATTATGTTTATTATTGTGAATAAGGTTTTTACTTATGCATGTAGTAGTTATGTAGAAAAGAATTTTAATCACATTAAAGTTTCCTTAATAAAAACTTTAGGGAGAAATAAGCTTCATATAATACGACTGCTATAATTAATAATTTAAATCAACAATAACGGCGAAGAAGGCAACAAAGTTTGGGGAGAAATAATACTTATATGAAATAAGGATAGAGTTTGCAAATTAAATCAAGTATAAAGGTAAACCAAGAAACAAAAATTATAGGAGAAATCAGATTCATATGAAATAAGGGTAGAGTATGTAAATTAGATCAAGTGTAAGGTTAAAGAAGGAACTGAAATTACATGAGAAATGAGCTTTCTATTAAAGAAAGGTCGAGTTTGTAATTTAAGATAAGTATAAAGGTAAAGAAGGAACCAAAACTTCATGGGGTATGCTTCATATGATTGGTTGGGGATTCGAAACAATCAAATCGAATCCGCACCCTTCCGGATCTTGTGTTTGATAGTTGAGTAAGAAAGAAATTCACCACAAATCAAAGATAAAAACTTGTAGGAAAGTAAATAAGAAAGAATACACCATATTTAACGAGGTTCGGTAACGTGCCTACGTTTTCGGGAGTCACACCACACAATTCTTTGATTAATTGAAGAAGATTACAATGCTTGTAATTGGTCTCTCTCTCTCTAAGATTTCTGATCTCAAAGAGCCCTCAAAACCCTCTTTTTTCGTGTTCTTTTTTTCCCCAAGCCCTAGAGGGACGTGTTTTTATTTATAACAAAACACAATCCTAAACAGATTAGGATTCTAAAACGAGTCTGCCACACCCTGGTGTGACACATACCACACCCATGACAAACAGGGCAGATTCTGCCACACTAGGATGTGACAGATACCACACCCATAACAAACAGGACAGATTCTGCCACACCCTGCCATATGGGTGTGGCAAACACCACACCAGGGTGTGGTGGAGTCTGTCTTGCATATTTTTCACGTGTTTGTTGATTTTGATTCTTGGTTTGGGTCTCCACTCTTAAGACAAACAATCTTCCACTTGGAGACTAAACCATCATCAATGAGCTCATCCGAACTCCGCCTTCTTTGCAAGCATCTTCTCCTACTTGGGAAAATCTATTCTTCAATCATCATCAACCCGACGATCGCGATGATCCTCCTAGTGTGGCTCCACCTTCATCTCCTACGCATGAAATCCAACTGAAGTTGCGCACAACTCCAGATTCTCTATGGTGACTGTCTTCGTCAACATGTCTGTCGGATTTTGACTCCCCAAAATCTTCTCTAAATATAACTTCCCGTCCTCGATCAGCGAGCGTATGAAATGGTATCGTACGTCGATGTGCTTTGTTCTGGCATGATAAACTGGATTCTTGACAAGGTGTATAGCGCTCTGGCTATCACAGTAAAGAAATCCTCTCCCTTGCTTCTGATCCAACTCTTCCAAACATCCAGCCAACCAAATCATCTCCTTACTTTCTTCAGTCACCGCGACATACTCAGCCTCGGTTGTAGATAAAGTTATAATTTTTTGTAGACATGAGACCCAACTCACTGTTGTCGACGCTAAAATATAAACATACACTGTGATGCTCTGTCTCGTATCATGATCACCGACGAAGTCCGCATCCACGTATTCCTGCAACACCAACTCCTTCCTCCTAAAACATAGTGGCTTGTTCGTTGTTCCTCTCAGGTACAACAATATCCACTTCAAGGCCTCACAATGTTGCTTTCCTAGATTGCTTGCAAACCTACTCATAACTCTCACTGCATGGGCAATGTCCGACCTCGTGCAAACCATCGCGTACATGAGACTCCCAATGGTCGAAGAATATGGCACCCTGCTCATATGCTCTCTCTCTGCATCTGTTTTAGGCGATTTCTCCTCAGATAACTTGAACTGGCTTGTGCTAACAACCTTATCATTCTACATATTGAACCTCTGAAGTACCTTCTCGATATATTCAGCTTGGCTCAACCTCAATGTCCCTTCAGCTTCATCCCTACTGATTTGCATCCCTAGAATCTGCTTCGCTACATCCGGATCCTTCATTGCAAACTCGTTTGCTAGCTGCTTCTTCAAACTGTTTATCTCCTCTAAACACGGTCCTTCTACTAACATGTCATCAACATATAATAACAAAATAATAAAGCTGGACTCGAATCTCTTGAAATACAACAATGATCTGAATTGCATCTTCCGTATCCATTATTCTGTATGAAGTTATCAAACTTCTTGTACCACTGTCTCGGAGCCTGTTTCAAACCATATAATCTCTTCTTGAGCTTGCACACCATCTCTTCCTTTCCTTCTTTAATAAAACCAATAGGCTGTTTCATGTAGATTTTTTCATCCGAGTCACCATGAAGAAATACAGCCTTCACATCTAACTGCTCAAGGAAGAGGTCTTCTGTAGCTACCAACCTTAACACCACTCTGATGGTTGTGAGCTTTACAACAAGGAAAAATATTTTCATATAGTCCACTCCTTCCCGCTGGTGGAGCACCTTTACAACTAATCTAGCATTGTAACTCTTGCTTCCATCACTCTCTTGCTTGACTCGGTAGACCCATTTATTATGCAAGACTTTCATCTATGCAGGTAGTTGGGCTAACTCCCATGTCTCGTTAGTGAGTAGAGAATCCATCTCCTCCTGCATCGTATGCTCTCACTGCAAAGATTCACTCACTTGCATAGCCTCCTTATAGCACTCCGATTCATTGCTATCTGTCAACAATAAGTAATCAAGAGATGAAAGATATCTAGGATTCGGTTTGGGTACCCTGGATAACCTCTTAAGCTCTACGTCCTGGGTAGTTGCTTCTGCACCTAGAGCCTCCTCCATTCTTCTGTCAGAACAAGCATCATCACCCCTATCTGGAAGTTCCTCTAAATTCATGTACTCGGATTCACCTGCATCTGAAGTGCTTCTCCCACTGCTTTGGTTATCCTTGGCAATTTCTCTATCCTTGTACATCACATCCTCATTGAATATGAAGTCTCGGATCCTGATGATCTTCCTGTTCTTCTCATCCCAAAGACGATACCCGAACTCATCAATGCTATACCTAATGAATATACACTTTTGTGACTTAGCTTCTAGCTTATCCCTGACATGGTCACTGATGTGAACATAAGCCATGCAGCCAAATACCCGCAAGTGTGATAGATTGACCTTCTTACCACTCCAAACCTCTTATGGAATCCCAAAATCTAATAGAACTGATGGCCCATAATTAATAAGGTAAGCCGTCGTATGCACCGCATTCGCCCAAAATGTTTTAGGCAGACCTGCATGTAATCACATACTCCTGGCATGCTCCGTCAAGGTTCTGTTCATCCTCTTCGCAATACGTCTTGAACTCCTCCAACTCGTATTCTCCACCATTGTTTGATCTCAGACACTTCACCTTCAGACCTGTTTCGTTCTCCACCATGGCCTTTCTCTTCTTGAAGACTCCGAACACCTCTGACTTGTGCTTCATGAAGTAAACTCACACCTTCCTCGAGTGATCGTCGATAAAGGTGATATAGTATCTCAAACCACCAAAAGAAGACACACTGGCTGAATGCCATATATCTGCATGAATCAACTCTAGCTTCTGAGCCTTAGGTGGCCTTCCACCCTTCTAGAAACTAATCCTCTTCTGCTTCCCAAAGATATAGTCTTTTCTCTTCAATTTCGATACGTGTCTCACGTTCTTTATGTTCCACTTAGAGTCCTTCATCTGAATCTACACGTTACCCTTTCTAATAATATTATAGGGCTCATTATCCCCTAAATATACTTTTCCAAAGTCCCGTGCTACATAATTCTGAAGAAGTTTCTTATTAGCAGTGGCGTGGAAAGAGGCTATTGAGTCGATGACTCAAGAATCCGAATCGCTGTCCATAGCAAGGATCAAAGCATCATGCACGATACGAGCCTCCTGCTCACCTGCATCCTTCTTTGGACATTTGCAGACTGAAGACATATAACCCTCTTGGCTGCAGTTCCAACACTTTCCTTTGATAGGCCTCCACTTTGAGTTCAACCTCTTTTTCACTGATTTCGACCGATTCTTGTTTTGGTTTTCTTTCTTCTGGCTTCTGCCTCTCTGCTCAAAACTTAGAGCTGAACCTGAACCTTCTAATTCAGACGATTTCCTTCTAACCTACTCGGATAGAATAATTCTAACAACCTCACTCAGCTTTAACTTCTCTTTCCCCGCCGAATTGCTGATTACCGTCACACAACCTGCCTAACTATCCGACAACTGTGATAGAATCAATAGGGCTTGCACTTCGTCATCGAACGTGATATCTGCGAAGATGAGTTGATCAACAATCGTGTTGAACTCGCTGAGATGCATCGTGAAGGACCGTCCTTCTGCCATTTTGAGGTTAAAAAGAGTTTTGACAAGATGCACCTTGTTTGCTACAGACGGTTGCTCGTACATCTTCGCGAGCGCTTCCATAAGCCCTACCGTCGTCTTCTCCTTCAATATGTTGTATGCGACTGTCTTGACGAGCAACAATCAGATTTTCCCTAGAGCCTTCTTATCCAGTATCTCCCAATCATTGTCTGACTCTTCTTTCTTCTGTCCCTTATCCTTGCTCATCAACGGGCGATACAAGTCCTTCTGGTGCAGATATTCCTCCATCTGTGACTTCCAGTAGACGAAGTCTGAACCTTCAAACTTCTCGATCTTAGATTTGATTTCCTCATCCATGGCTCTTTCTTACAAATTTGCTGAACGAAGCTCTGATACCAGCTGTTGGGGATTCGAAATAATCAAATCAAATCTGTACCCTTCCGGATCTTGTGTTTGAGAGTTGAGCAAGAAAGAAATTCACCACAAATCAAAGATAAAAACTTGTAGGAAAGTAAATAAGAAAGAACACACCAGATTTAACGAGGTTCAGCAACGTGCCTACGTTCTCGGGAACCACACCACATAATTCTTTGATTAATTAAAGAAGATTACAATGCTTACAATTGGCCTCTCTCTCTCTCTAAGATTTTGGATCTCAAAGAGCCCTCAAAATCCTCTTTTTTGTGTTCTTTTTTTTCTAAACCATAGAGGGACGTGTTTTTATTTATAACAAAACACAATTCCAAATAGATTAGAATTCTAAAACGAGTCTGCTACACCCTGGTGTGACACATACCACACCCATGGTAAACATGGCACATTCTGCCACACCAGGGTGTGACACATACCATACCCATGGTAAACATGACAGATTCTGCCACACCCTGTCATATGGGTGTGGCAGACACTACACCAGGGTGTGGTGGAGTCTGTCTTGCTTATTTTTCACGTGTTTGTTGATTTTGATTCTAGGTTTGGGTCTCCACTCTCAAGACTAACACATGGGGGCATGCTTCATATGAAATAAGGGTATAGTTTATAAATTAAATTTAGTATAAAGGCAAATGAGGGATGAAAGTAGCACGTGTCATCCCAAAAAAGAATATTCCTGGATATGCTAAAGGTCATCTAACGGGAGGTAGCAACATAATAGTTTGGAAACATTGGGTATTTAACAATTATCTGAAGAGTTTAGAATCTTAGATATTTAAGTGAAATTTGTGAGGTGTTTAAGTGTAATTTACTGTAGATAAGGTGCCATATTATGATATATAAATGCTTCTCTTTTTTAGTGTGGTATAACTGGGATGTCCATGAAATTACTTTCAAGAACAACATGTAGTGTCTTATCAAGAACATTAGTTTGGATTCAAATAAATCTGTTTGTAAATAACTTTCTTTTCATTGTTAACAACTACTATTTCAAATCAAATGATTGAATGAAAACTATCAACAACGACCTCTTTCTCAATCATTTCCTCTGATATCTCCATTAATGGAGCTACCTAAATGCCTCTTAAACTCACCACCATAAACTAAACTAGATGACTTACTCAAATTTCTTCTCTCCTTCACATTTTCGGGTTACATCAGATAGTACAAAATCTCCACATTCAAACTATCTAAGATGAAGCTATTGTAGTTGCCGTGAATGTACTCCACTAGCATTGTGAACAGCGGCGCTTGAACACCACGAGACACCAAAGGGTGTCTTGCCGGCGCGGCACACGGACACCGTGAGACACCAAAGGGTGTCTCGCTGGTGCATGAGACACCCTGAGGTGTCTCTGCACCCGAGACACCTCAGGGTGTCTCAGAGCGGGTTTTCTAGATCGGTGCGGATCTTTTCCAGATCGTTTTTGGGCCCTGGTTTCTTGATGTAAATAGCAACTTCGTTCCTAGGGTTTTGGAAGTGAAAAATAGAGGGTTTACCAGCTGTAGCAGAGAATTTTAATATAGTTTTTTTAGATCTAAAAAGGTGAGATCTTGAGGAGAGAAAAGAGAGAGAACTTGGAGCGATTGTACAAGAAAGAGATCATCTTCTCTTGGGTAAAATCAGAGACTCATCTCTTTGGGACGAGCTTGCAGGTTATGCAAGTCTTCGGTGTTCTCCATCATAGTAGAATCTCCCTTCACCCCCTCCCGTGGATGTAGGCAAGTTTACCGAACCACGTAAATCTTGTGTTTTCTTTATTGTTTTGTCGTGTATTGGCTATTGCTTGTGTTGGTTAGTTTTCTCGATATTTAGATATAGATATGATATTAGGAAAAATGTATATCTCACCTTGCTGAGATATTTCACTTATGTTCTTATTTTATATCAAAACAGGAACATCGAGGTTGGCTTGAGTTTTGTGAAAAACAAAAGCCAGGGCTTCTCTCGAGGTGATTCGCTTCTGGGGCGAGTGGGCGTGTCGGCCCCACCCAACAATTGGTATCAGAACCCTTGTTCAGATTGGGGGTGGTAAAGCTTTCGATTTGAGGTGGTTCTTGATTATTATGTGGTGTACACAAGGTGTTTGTTAAAATTCCTGAGAGAAGAAGATTTACTAAAACAAGCGGAGAATGACGTCTACTAGTAAATTAGTTAAAGTTAAAAAGTATGTAATTGAAAAGTTTAATGGTGTTAGGCGCAGAGTCATGCACTCACGCCGCGGAAGAGATATAACCCAAGAGAAAGCCCTAACTTTTACTTTCATAAAAGCTCAAGCCAACCTCTATATTACTATTTCACAAAGAAAACAAGAATAAAAAGTGAAATATCTCAACACTCTTTCTCTCATCAATTCTAGAACTGACATGTCGAGGGAACCTAAAAGCAATAGTCAACACCCAGAAAATAGTAAAGACACGAGATTTACGTGGTTCGGCAAACTTGTCTATGTCCACGGGGAAGGGGGAGGGGAGATTCCACTATGAAGGAGAACACCGATGACTTGTAAAACCCACAAGCTCGTCCCAAAGAAGAAGCTTTGATTTTTACCAAAATAAATTGATCTCTCTCTTGTAAAATCCCTCCAAGCTCTCTCTTTTTCTCTCCGCGAGATCTCTCTTTTAGATCTAAAAAACTCTCTATTTTTCTCCTCTAAACAGCCACCAAAAACCCCTTAGCCAAACCTTAGAAGAGACGTAAGGTATTTAACCCCTTAGCCAAACCTTAGAAGAGACGTCGGGTATTTATAGCCAAAACACCCCACGTTCAATTTGTTCTAGAAAAAAAACCTGAACAGGAACCCGAATAGGCCCAAATCCCAAATACCCGCTGACAAAAAAAAACTTTGCAAGTTAGGTGACTCGCGCTCCTCTCCACGAATCACGTGGTTGTGGCCCCCATGTTTAATCTCACTTTCAATTCTCCATCTCATACATCATTTGATAAACCTTAAATTGACGAGCACCAGAAGAACACCGCGAACATCACCAGAGAGATCTGAAACACCAAACCAGGTCAAACCAGCCGCACCACTTTACCGTGTCTGCCTACGTACCATCCACCGGGATCAAGCTAACCATAGTTCAGGATTTGTTCTCCATATAGTCTCCACCTCACCCCATCACCGCTCTAAAGGGTCATGCCCTCTTGAGAAAATAAACACGGGTTGATATGAAGCAAGTCCAAGTA